TAAAAATATATGTTTACTTATTTTTATGTTGTATCAAGACTTCAAAGATAATTGTTTCCCAAACTTGGAACTTAAATTATCTTTCATGTGTGTCATTTTGGGACTAAAATTTATTCAGTGCATATGAAATGCCACTAGAAAATTGTGTTCCCTTTTAAGTATTGTAACATTGTCTCCAAAATGTATAATTAGAACTTTTGCCAAATCTTACTTTTCCTTGGGAATTTGCTTAGTGATTGTCAATCAAGTAAAAATAGTTGACTTTTGAGCCTTCATTGTTGTCCTTGTCTGAGGAAATTTTTACTAAGCCTTTATTGTAGGGTAGAGCAGCCAAAGCAGCCTTGTCAGGCCTTCACATGACATCATTCTTCTTCCCTAAATCCAATATCAATAAAAGCAGAAAGTTTAAACTGTATATGGGAACAATGTAAGAAGCAAGTGCTCTTGGCTATTGTTGAATCTTTGCGTTATCTCTTCAAATCTCATAAATCTCAAGATATCTGATCTGTTAATTCAGTCTGTATTTCCCGAGTATATCAGTGTGATGTTTAGAGAAAAATGGACACATTTCCCATAACTACACTTAATAATATACACTATTGAAATAAAGAAGAAAGGCAATTGCCCCCTTTAAAAATTTTTGTTGAGTATCTAACAATAATCCACTCTAGATTGAAATGATTTGAAATATTCCTTAGAATGGTGAATATCTAGTATTTTGGGACTTAGGGCAAATCGGTGAAGTATGTAGCATGGCTAGCCTTATTTTTGTCATACACAATTTATACCCTGAGTCAGGGTATTTTCTCATTCACATTTTTTTGTGTCTGTCTCAAAACATATATTGAGTACCTACTTTCTGTCAGGCACTCTGACAGTGAGAGTTTAAAGATGAGCAACGCATGCTTCCTGTGGTCAGTGTTTTCAAAATTAGATTGAAGAATCAGACGGTTGAAAACATGGTGTGAAATCTTGTGTGCTGGTCTATTACTGACAGAAGCACAGGCAGGACACGGAAGCAGATGTGACACCAGATTAGTTGGAAAGAGGGGGTTTCTGGAAGGGCTTTCTATAGGTAATGCCTGAGGAGACTCTATCAACTTGTTTATTACAGTATGCTATCAAGTAGTAACCAGCTATCAGATACGTTAGCATTAATTCACTGTAAATGTATTCCTTTTTGTGAGGGTATTTAGTTTGCAAGCATTTTCTCCTGAGTGGACTGAAAGGCTTTGCATTTGGCGAAAATAGTGGCTCTTTACTTTATGTGATCGTTTCTGACAGCCTGTGGTGGACCTCTTCCCTGCAAAACATGTTGTGACTGGGTGTATAAATTCATATGTATTTTTTGTGTATAGCTTTTAGGAAATCACAAGCTTGAAGCCTCCTTATAGCTGGTCGCTGAATCCCAGCTTCAAAATGGAAAGGCTAAAGATCATTGGGGAATCTTGAAAGGGTGGAAGAAATATCATTTAAAGTTATAGTGTAGAGAATCACGATTTTCGCTTGTTCATTCTTGCCATACATTCTTCTGTAAAATGTGTTTACTCTACCTACTACAATAAAAGCTATTTGTCTTTCTTGGTCTTCGATTTAAAAAAAAATTGTAGTACAATGAATGCAAATACCCTTCAGAAGAAAAACAATGCCTGTGGTTTTCCATGTAGTTTAAAAATTGTTCTTCTTGACATTTTATTTTGGCCTGTTGGTTAGCTCCAACCCCATTTTTGACCATAGGAATCCAAGCAGAATTCCAAACAGATAGTAAATATTCTAATTGCACTTGAGCATTTCCTTAATATTATCATCTATAACCAGTTTCCTGTATTGCTTTCAGTTCCGATATCCCCAACCTCAAATCACTGCATTAAATGGGACTAATGAATAATAATTCATACTTTTTTAAAAACTATTTCTAATTTTTGTGATTTTTTTTGGGGATGCAAAACAAATAGAAAATACCATAAAGAAAAAGAAAAAAAAACACTCCAAAGTGGATTTGAGAATTACAAATATCTTGGATCCTAAATAATAAATATGTGTTAGATTATAATGCAAATTCTAAATCCATGTAATATAGAATGTTGTGGTCCAGCTTGCTATACCAATGTATAAGTAAAGTATTTCAGCATGCAGAAATAAGACATTTACATTGAAGTGAAAGATGAATGAAGGAAACCCTCAAATGTGTGCAATATGAAGAAAGAAATTGTGCATTTTAAACTGTCTGATAGGTTGTAATTTTAAGATGGCTATTTTTTCTTTTATTTCTGTTGATAGTATCAAAATTTAAAGATATACATGACTTGCAGTATATCAAGTCTGCACACAAATGAATTGACTTTGTCATTCACTATAGCTTGTTCTCAAAGAAATATTTGGTTTTCTCCTGAAGCAATTCATGGTGTGTTGAGAACTGACACAACTATTCTGAAGCTTTTAGTTCAGAAAAGATAACAGTAAATAATAATAAAAAAAATTGGTGTGTGTATTTCAGAACAGTTTTGTCTCCTTTTTTTTTTAATTTTTATTGTTATGTTAATCACCATATATTACATCATTAGTTTTTGGTGCAGTGTTCCATGATTCATTGTTTGTTCATAACACCCAGTGCTCCATGCAGAACGTGCCCTCCTCAATACCCATCACCAGGCTAACCCATCCCCCCACCCCCCTACCCTCTAGAACCCTCAGTTTGTTTTTCAGTTTTGTCTCCTTTTAAGAATCATCCGGCCTTGTGCCTTTTTTCTCCCCAGAAGTAATGTTTTTGCTTGTGTGAAGTGTTATATCCTTGGACTGCTGTTCTGTTTTTGATATAATCCATCCATCAAAACATGAATCCTATTGCATGTGAAAAGTCGTTACAAGAAAATAAAAATCTAAAACACATTTGGGTTTTATTTTACTCATACTACTTTTATTATACAAATGGAGTATGGACAAACTGCATTTTGTTTGGTTGAGTGCCTCAGCTTTCAAGTTAACCAGCTGGTTCAGAGAGGAGCAAAAGTTTATTCTTGCAAAAAAAAAATAATGCTGCTAAAGATGATGACAATGACAATTATTTGCAGTAATGGCAGTTTGCTAAAAATGTAGAATCTGAGGCCTCTCTCCAGACCGACTATATCAGAGCCTGCATTTTAACCCGATCCGCTGTGATCCCTATTCGAGTTCATGTTAGAGTAACACTGTTTTCCTGTCTCTAGTTGCTCCCAGCACTAAGAAAGGAAGAGCCAGCCTTGGAGTCACTGCCAGTCAATGCCCTCAACTGTTTGCATAGTAAACTCACAGGATGGAAGATTTAAATAACTCACAAACTTGAATTTACCTTAAAGTGTAAAATCTTGGGGAAAAAAAGTGCAAAATTTATTTTTATGAAAATTAACAGGCCTTTTATATAAAGTGCAAATTTTTTTTATTTAGGCAGGCCATCTATTTTTTGAGATGTCTGTCTTTAGGGGTAGTGGAGCATCAGCGGTTTCTGCTAGAGGTGTACGAAGCTGATTAGAATCTGGCTTCAATTTCAGGCATCAAGACCAGCCTCTTACCCAGTGCTGTAAACTGTTCTACAGACCTTTCATTACTTTGTCTCTAGGACAGTAAAAAATAGTAAGCATTTTTCTGGTTCTACAGACTGCCATTCCATTGACAGTAGGGTGGAAGAGAGGAGTTGATGAGAGAATTCTAATTTTAATGAATTATTTTTCCATATGGTGAACTGATAACCTACCTTGAACTAATTTCCATCTCCTTCCTTTCTAGATTTACACATAAATCTAACTTTCTTATCTCATGTCATTTTGTATGAGGGAACTAAACAGGGTAAATAATTTTACATAATAAACTTTTGACCAAAGCCTAAAGTATAGCTTTCAGGATTGAAATTTAAATTTCATAAATTAATTTTATTAACTATTTTTACAGCTAAAATTCCTAAATATTAAAGTTTAAATCTACTAAAAGTGATTTGAAAAGCATGGATTTCATCATTTCCTAAAATTTTAATGTATTTTCCTCCTCTCTTGGTTTTGCAAAAGAACAATTTGAAGAAAAATTTGAAAAAAGAAATTTGTAAACTTGTATCATGAAACAGTTATCCCAGAATTCCCAAAGCATTTGTCAGTGTTTTACTATCTCATGATTAATTTATTTTCTCTCTTAAATTTGCTGTGTTTCCTAAAGTTACTGTATTTTGATATTCGACAGCACTAAGAGATTGATTAGTCTAGTTTTGGACTCAAATAAAAGGAAGGCATTTTTTTGTTATGTTAATATATATTTCTGACGTTAAAAGAAAATTCACATACTGGTTTTAAAGAAATTATCTCATTTCTTCCCACAATGGTTTATAGAGCTTTGTTTTATTCGGTAGCATAAAAGACTAGATGTAAAAGAGTCAGAGGGTTTTCAGGATTTGGGGCAATGATTTTGAAGCTCTTGAAAATATGGACAGTGTTTTATTTATCATTAAAGATCAAAGGTGTAGCACCTGGTCATTGACTAAATAAATGTTGACTTAAATATTATTTTTGGTATTTATTTATACATTTTACAGAAACTCAGAGGCAATGCCATCTTTAGAGAAAGTGTATAAAAATGTGACGAGTAAGTTGCTAGAACAGTACAATATTTAGCTGCTACTATGTCTCCTTCTACCTGGCAGTGAAGACCTGCTGCTGGTCATAGGCATCCACTGTAAATTCAAGCACACTTAGCAGATTTTCATTTACTTGCAAAATAGCCATGATTGCTAAATTCACTTTCCTTAGATTCCCCCCCAAACCAGTGACCATTTCATTCAAAGAAATGACTTACCCCCTCCCGTCAAACATCAAAGTAAGAAAATGTAGGTAATACCCTTTTACAAGTGGTTCATATTATAGTATAACAGGTCCAATAAATTGCATTTCCATATTTTAACAATATTTTTCTAATTAGCTTTGTTTGCATTGACTTTGCTCTTTAATATTTTACATTTTAATTGAACTTTTCTTTTTTAGCTGTGTTTTGGGGTGATATTGCCTTAGATGATGAAGACTTAAGTATCTTTCAAATTGATAGGACAATTGACCTTACACAGAACCCCTTTGGACTTGGACATACCACAGGTATGGTTGATTATTTGATTGAATTTGTGTTCATTTTGGAGAAAAGATACTCTTGAAATGCTCTAAGTATTCTTTAGGTCACTTTTAATGTCCTGCTGATCAACTTTGATTGCCTAAACATTAATGAGCCTATTTGGAAATTTAGATTTTGTTCATAGTTTTTAATTCTATTAATTAATTTCTTTGACAAACATTTTGTTTGGTACCAAGGTACCAAGTACTTAAACCAGGTACCAAGCCTGGTTTAAGTGTTTTGCAGATAGTAACTCTTTGAATGTGCATAATAATCCCATGAGGAGTAGCTACTAATATGACTTACAAGTGAGGAGATCAAATTAATTGTATTTCTTATTTTCTTATTTCAAACTGTATAGTCTTTCCCATAAGTATTTACTTAGTTTGTATATTTTCAGTTTGTTTTTAGAATATGTGTGAAATAACCACTTATTTTATCACTTTCCTTTTTTTCTATGTTAATGAACTACCTACACAGAATTTTTTGTAATTTCAATTTCTATACAAATTTTTAGAAAAATTGCTAAATTTTAAAAGATATTATTGCCTTTAGTGGTCTTGAAACATTGTTTTTTGAAAATTCTATAATTACTCTTATCCTTATAATTACCTTAATATTAACTAAGACATTTCTTTTTTCTCATAATTAACCTTCTTCTAAATCTATTTATATGTGCTTCAGGCCTATCTAATATAAAGTATAATTGTTACATAACTGTCATTTCAAACATATAAATGCCATTCTTTAAAAATGTTTCTTATAGCTACTTAGAAATGAATACATTTAAATATTACCTCATCTTTCTAAAATGTTCAATGAAAAAATTTCAAAAATTTTTCTCAAGTAGCACAGCAAAAATGTGACCATGTAATGAAAACAATCAGGCACGTTATTAGTCAGTGAACAAGCACTCTAACTTACTTGCCTTATAAGGACTTAATTGATCTTTTGCTCTAGAAGGCTTATATGGTAATGGTTTTTGTGATTATTTTGGGTTTTTATTAGCTTTACTCTAGGTAGATAAGTTTTGGTATTAATTTCAAAGGGGAAAAAGATAATGGAAAGAAATAGATCAAGGTGCAAGCAGTTTGTTGTCTTTATGGATTTCTAGCCCTTCCGTTGTCTTCGCCCAAAGAGACTCATTAATCATATTCTTGTGGTGTGAATGTATCTGCACTTGTTCAGATATTATTAGTGGTTGTATTGGTTGTTTGCTCAGTGATGTCTTCTTGTTATTTGTCCACTGAAAATTCAATAGGAGGGGAAAATAGGAGATAAAATTGGGAGAGCATTCTATTCAAGGTCTGGAATGAGAATCAGAGGACTTGGATTTTCCTCAGATGCTCTGCTTTCTGACCTTTGAGAGGAAATCTGCCTTTTCTATTTTTTTTCCCAGTTGGTAAATCTGCAAAAGGATATAATTCCTCATCCTGACCTCCTTTTCTACCTTTTGCACTCTAAAATTCTTTACATCTATTTTTATAAATTTTGCCAATTATATAGCATAACAGAATGTATTTTGCTGCTGAGCATCCTTTTCGATTGTTGTGATGTTTTTGTAATTATGTGTTATTGGTTTTTATAAATTATTAAAACTCATTTTTGAATTATATTTGAATATATTATAAAATATGATATGCTTTTAAAAATATTTCAAAATTGATCATAGCTTTGAAGCAAGACTTGTACTATATATTTGCTCTTCTAATGTTTTTATTTCCATTTGCTGATTTGGCTTCTGAAAATATTGTTTACATTGGAGAAATAGCTGGAATGCAATCAACAGGGCCGAACAACTTGCTGTCATCCTATATAACGCGATGTGATGTCAAAGTCCCAGTGAAGAAAAATGTTCCAAATTATCGATAGATGACTCAGTTGCCAGGATGTCCAAATAAAGTCACTTAGATTGTTCTGTGGATCACCCCACCCACTTGTTTTTAGTTACCAAAATTGTGTTTGTAGAATGTTTACACTTTTCTAAGATTTATGGATATTCATGACTCTAATGTTCTTAGACCACATAAAAAAAAGATGTCCAAAGAGAAATCAATGTAGCCTTTTGGTATGGTTTACTTAGAAGAACTTTAAAATGCAATGAGTTTAACTTAACTATTTTCTTTTATTCTTAAGGTGGATTTGGAGACCATGGTATGTCAAAGAAACGAGGGGCCCTCTACCAGCTTATAGACAGGATAAGAAGAATTGGCTCTGGTATATCAATGTTTAAAGTTGCAGACACTTGACTTGATGTACAGTAAATATTATACCAATAGCAGTTCAGTTTGCCATTAATATGTGAAGTGTGTAAAGGGTATATGCTGAGAAACAGTCCTTTATTCATTTTTGTTAGCTGATGTTTAATGTCAGTTTTTTTAGAACTTATTTTGGGACAACTGAAACATTTCTTTAACTTATTTTCAGCTTCTCCTTAGTATAAAATGCATTAAGGGATTATTGTATTGTTGATATTTATTTCTGGTGCAGTGTGTATCACACTAAATTGTTTTTATCAAGCATGGAACTACATCAGTTTTAATCAAATCAAAAAAATGTCATGACTGTTTTGAAATAAAACCCACTTAAAGTAAATTGACAAAGTGATTTGTGAGATTAAAAAATTAATTGAAAATGTTTTGACCCTTCCAGAAATATACATAGAAAAACAGCTTTCTGGTTTCATAATTAGTTAATACTTACAGCATTGAATTTGTTAAACACGATTTATAGATTATAAAGTTTCTAAAAAAGTTTTCTGTTCAAAGTGTGTCCTGACATTTTTTAAACTGATGAATTATTAATTAAATAATTGACAGTACTCACTTTCAGGGAATAATTTTCCCAAGCAAAGATGCCTTGCCTCAGGGTATTAAAAGATAAACCTGTTAGGGACGTGGGAATAGGGGCATGCATTCAATGTTTGTTGTGTCTGAAGTATATTCCAGGAGTGGGATATTTGGATCAACAGTAATAGATGAATAAAAATGAATAATAAAACCATGAGAGACTATGGACTCTGAGAAACAAACTGAGGGTTCTAGAGGGGAGGGGGGGGTGGGAGGATGGGTTAGCCTGGTGATGGGTATTAAAGAGGGTACGTTCTGCATGGAGCACTGGGTGTTATACGCAAATAATGAATCATGGAACACTACATCAGAAACTAATGATGTAATGTACGGTGATTAACGTAACATAATAAAATAAAAAAATAAAGAATGAACAATAATTCAAATTTAGGAAAAACAAAAAACAGTAACAAAAATATTTTGAAAGGCCACCAAGAAAATTAATGACTACAGACTTGGAAGCTGCTCTAGGAATAGGCTGTCATTTTTATGTTGGCCTGTTCACGTTGTGTATTGATCTCTAAATCGTGCTAAATCATCTGGATATAAATCCAGAGGAAATGTGAATGGAGATATACCAGCATCCCAGGAGGCTGAGACCATATCTGCCTTAACATTATTTCATTTATCCTCTCTGTAATTTTCATAATTTTAGGCTGTACTGTGGAATATCCTGCTTTAAAAGAATGAAGGATTTAGCAAGAGTTAAGAAGAGTTTTGAATATCTTGTGACTTTTTAAACCATGTCTGTTTATCATCTGGTGGTGAATTGGCAGAGAGCTAGTAAATTAAAATACATAAAACAATTTTTTTGTGGCCTACCAGTCTGTCTGACGTCTGTCTACTGTAGGCTGTTGTATGGGAATTCATTAAAATTTGCTTATAGAGCATTAAGAAATAGTATTTTGACATCAAGTACTTAAATATTTTAATACTTTTTCAAGTATGTAATATAAATGAAATTTTTCTTTAATGCATTTTGACTTCAGGCATATTTACACAAATATGTAAATAAGACATTTTAACTTTAGTCTTTTAAGAGGAAATGATTCCCTGACCAAGGACTTCTGTTTCACAGAATGTTTTAAATGTCACTGCAGGCTTGGAGCAAAACAGCACAATTAAAGGAAAAGTACCTCTCAAATTCTCAGGGCAAAATGAAAAAAATCGAGTTCCCAGAGCTGCTACATCAAGAACCGAAAGAATATGGCCTGGAGGTGTTATTCCTTATGTTATAGGAGGCAACTTCACTGGTAAGGTATTCCCAGAGTGTTTATTTTTATAAAGAAATATTATATAGATTGTGTGTATTTTTCCAGAGTATTAATATGGAGAATATAGTATTAAATCAAACATGAGAAATACTTTACTTACCTTGGTTGTTGGTTTAGAATGTCATTGAAATTGAAAAATATCTTTAGTTTTGAGCTCTAAGAGATTAAAGTACTGTTCTGGTTTTTAAACTGAGTTTCAAATGTGTCCATCAATTCAGGAAGCTGATTTCTCTTCAACTGACGGGAAGAATATATGTCCCGTTGATAGAGCCTTGTACACACACACACATATTTGTAGAGATAGTGAGCTTGAACCTTCTGATTATAAGGTGAGTGACCCTTCTTAAGAGTGATCACTTGTGGTGCTCTAGGCTAGTATTTGTTGGTTGACGAGAGTGATGTCATCCGAACTGCCTAGTCAGACTCAGGATGGAGGAGCCAGCGTGTAGCACTGCTCCCTAAGGCAGACACTTTGTTTTATTAACATCCTGCCATTTTTCTAGGCAGTCAGCGAGCCATGTTCAAGCAGGCCATGAGGCACTGGGAAAAGCACACATGTGTGACTTTTATTGAAAGAAGTGATGAAGAGAGTTACATTGTATTCACGTATAGACCTTGTGGGTAAGTAGAACCAGGGAATGACTTAAGTAAGTGTAGAAGAGGAAAAAGAAAATCCAGAGGTAGGATTCATTTCTTATTTGCTTAGCATTTTGCCCATGAGAAAGTGTGAATTTTACATAAGAAGATATATTTTGAATAAATATAGTCTTTGATCATAGACCTTTGTACATGTACCTCAAGTGTATTTCCCCACTACGTCAACTACTTCTCCTCGTGTTGCAACTATAATAATGGTGTTGCCACCGTCAGTAATATCGTCTGGTGATTCTCTTGAGCTCCCTCTAAAATCTATGCAGTAAGATTCCATTGATAGTCACTATATCTTTTGATTTCTACCTCCATCCCATGTCAGTGCCTCAGTCCATTCATGTCTTTGTCATGTCACACCTGACCTATTCCAAATGCTTGACTGTCTTCCCTCATCAATTTACTGCCACTAGAATTATCTTCAAAGAATACCAGTCAGAGCAAGACACCACCCTTTTTTGTTGATTCTTCAGTGCTTCCTCGTAGAGTGCTGCTTTCTAGATTGGCTTCTTACGGGATGATAACAAATACTCTCCAAAACAACTGTTCTGGAGCACTGGGTGTTATACACAAACAATGAATCATGGAACACTACATCAAAAACTAATGATGTAATGTATGGCGATGAACATAACATAATAATACAAAAAAGTAAAAAACAAACAAACGAAAAAAAAACAACTCTTCCATAAGTTGTGAAATGCTGTGTTAAATTTCAGTAGATATTTCTGCAGCAATGTGCTAATGAACATTATGAATATTCAACCCATCAGAGAGAATATAGAATACAGTGTTTTTTAAACTTACTTAAAAAACAGAGCATCCATGCCACTCTTTTAAGAGTGAAGAACATACATCAGTATCCCAGAACACATTTTGGGAGATGTTAGCCTGAGAATAAAATCCAAATTCCTTGATATAACATTTAAAGAATGCCATGAACTTACCACAACTTCCATGTGCAGCCTCTTCTGCCACCACATCCCATAATCTAGCCAAGTTACAGTAACAGCAGTTCTCCAAGCAACACTGTATACTTAAAGCCTTTTTACTGTGAAAGGTCTCAAACTTCTCTCTCCTCTATCTCTAGTTAGTTGGAACTTACATTTAAATATTTGATTAAACTAGAACTTTTGCTTGCTCAGGAAGAATACTTGGTAGGGCTTGCTGTCTCCTTGACATTGCATCCCCTCAGGAGGCACATGTGCTGGACCTAGCACTTCAGCGATGCTGCTGTTGATCAGTGGATTCCAGGGGTGACGGCCCAGTCCTTCCATTGTAAAAGTTCCCATCATTGCAAAATAGTGATTTGCTAATGTTGTTCTTTCCTCTTAGTCCTTCTACATTTATTAGCTGGACTCCTCTACAAAGAGGAATTTTCTCTAATCAGCTCAAACTATTTGAATACCCTCTCGTATAGTTTATATAGGGAAGTAAAAATAAATGCTTCATTCATTTGGAGGAAAGAGTTCTTGCCCCAATCACATATATTTTTTGGGGAGAAAATATATATGTCACTGGGTATTGGGGGAGGATTGTGTCATCTGGCTTTGTTCTATCACATATTCCTAGAAGATTTAACCTCACTTAAAAAGTAATGGATTTTACTTTTGACCCTATCTGAGTGACATTAAGAAAAAGTATACATTATTACCTTTCTATATAATTTTGGATAATGCCATAATTTTTTAGTTTTGACTTATTCAAGTAATGTTTTCTTCCAAATTACTAAATTTTATCTTGACAAGTTTTGGTTACATGTGAAATGCCTCCTAGTTCTTAATATCTATTTAATATTTAAAAGGTCCAAATCTAGACTCTCCTTCCTTCCTTCTCGTTATCTAATAGAAATGAATATAGCTCAGCTTATATATTTCTAAATACATAATGTATTCAGATCAATGTATCTTTCCTTTATCTTTACTACCCTTCAATTTTGTAAAACAAATGCAAACAAAACACTGGCATTCATTATCTCATTAATAAATTTCTGTTTGTAGCAAACTCGTATTTATGCTCATTTTCTTTCATTAATTTGGCTTTTTTCAAAATTTTTCATTTTACTTGTTTTATCCTGCTAAACTGTTTTTCCCCATTTGCTGTCATTTCTTCATGTGTTTGCTTGTGCTTTTCTGCTTCCGTGGAATGCCTTTGCTTCCATTTTCATCAGTGGAAATCGTCCACATATTTCTTTCTCACCCATTTCTGAGCTGCCGTCAGTGTGACTTTGCTCTACCTTAGCTGTACTAGTTACATTTCCACCATTCGTTCATATGTCTGCCTTCATCTGTGATGACAGGTTGCTTATCTCTTCATCCTTCGTGACACCCAGTGCGCTGCTTTATAGATAGGTGATCAAGAAAATATTGACAATTTACACATCGGCTAAAGCACGTCGTATGTAATTCTAGAAGAAAAGAATGTAAGAATGTAGCGGTATTGAAGAGCATGTACTTTAACGATGATTTTAATGATTTTAGAGAAATGGAAACTGAAGTTGTGAATTGCCCTCAAATCCTTGAATCTGTAGTTGCACTCCTGAAATCAAACTTTTGAGTATTTATATATACATATAATTGTGACTGTTATAGTAGTAATGTTGCATTTGGTGATTTGTTTTGTATTCAATTTCTTTATATTGTATTTTCAATGATAGGAAGGATGATACATTTTATAGGAATTGATCATTGGCTTGCTAATCATTCTAACCATTTTGTGACTTCTAAATTTCATTTGGAATTACCATTATTGGCCATAATTTCATGAAACAGTTATTTTATCATTATGGTGATTTTTTTTCTATGATAATGCTGCATTTATATCCCATAAAGATTAATCAAAATTATTAAAGAGTTTGGTATCTGGTATTACACAAAACACTGAGGGCTACTGCAATAAGATCTATGTCAAGTCAAATGCATAACACTCCTATTGGATTTTGGTATTGTGTCCTTTCCCTCTGTTGGCAAAAAGTTTGAACTTAACTATAAATATTTTTCAATGAATATTTATTGTCATCAGTGACATTTATTTCACAAGATGATTATTATCAGCAAAATGTAAGATCACTTTATAAAGACTTGTGTGATTTATTTCTTTGTAAGTCAGAAATTTATACAGCTGAATTTATTACCTTTGTCTACCATGCAACTTTATATTGCTGAATATTCTCTTTTTTAAAGTATAACTTTATTTTTTAAACACTGTTACATTAGTTTCAGGTGTACAATTATAGTGATTAAACAATTCTATACATCACCTGGTGCTCATCACAACAAGTGGCCTTCTTAATCCCCATCAGCTGCTTAGCCCAATCCCTACCCTCTTTCCCTCTGGTAACCATCAGTTTGTTCACTATAGTTAAGAGTCTGTTTCTTGGTTTATCTCTTTCTCTTTATCCCTTTGCTCATTTATTTTACTTAAATTCCACATGTGAGTGAAATCATATAGTATTTGTCTTTCTCTGATTGACTTCTTTCACTTAGCATAATACTCACTAGCTCCATCCATGTCTTTGCAAATAACAAGATTTCATTCTTTTTTATGGCTGAATAGTATTCCATTGTGTATATATACCACCTCTTGTTTATCCGTTCATCTTTCGATGGACACTTGGCTGCTTCCATATCTTGGCTATTGTATTGTAAATAATGCTTTTGTAAACAGAGGTGCATGTATCCCTTTGAATTAGTGATATTGGATTCTTTGGGTAAATAATTAGTGCAATTGCTACATTAGAGGGTAGTTCTATTTTTAACTTCTTGAGGAAACTCCATACTGTTTTCCAGAGTAGCTGCACTAGTTTGCATTCCCACCAACAGTGCATGAGGATTACTTTTTCTCCACATCCTCTCCAACACTTCTTGTTTCTTGTGTTGTTGATTTTAGCCATTCTGATGGGTGTGAGGTGATATCTCATTGTCGTTTTGATTTGCATTTTTCTGATGGTGAGTGATGATGAAATCTTTTCATGTGTCTGTTGGCTATATAAATGTCTTCTTTGGATAAATGTCTGTTCATGTCTCCTGCCCATTTTTTAATTGGATTCTTTGGGTTTTTTTTTTTTTTTTTGGTGTTGAGTTTTATAAGTTCTTACATATTTTGGATAGTAGCCCTTTATCAGATATGTCATTTGCAATTATATTCTCCATTCAGTAAGTTGCTTTTTAGTTTTGTTGACTGTTTCCTTCGTTGTGCAAATCCTTTTTATTTTGTTGTAGTCCCAATAGTTCATTTTTGTTTTTGTTTCCTTTGCCTTAGGAGACCTGTCTAGAAAAAAGTCGCTATAGCCAATGTCAAAGAGTTTACTGCCTATGTTCTCCTCTAGGATTTTTATGGTTTTAGGTCTCATATTTCGGTCTTTAATGCATGAATATCCTCTATCCTCTACTAGATAATTTCTTGAACAATCTTACTTTTTTCCTCCTGCTAATTTTTAATGATTCCTTAAAAACAACTAACCAAACAAATAAACTTAGGGTTAATTTATTTAGCTATTTTCTAGATTTCGTGTTTTAAATTGTGTTTAAATTTGGTCAGTTTGGATATTCAGATTATGGCAACAGTCACTTATTCATCCTTACCTATTGAATTTTCATTTTGTGCCACTTACTATACTAATTTTTGGGACTATAAAATTGAATGTGAGGTGTTTTTCTCTGCATGAAGATTATAGTTAGGCAGAGGAGGTGTGCTAGCTAGGGTTCTTGCTTGCAAACAACGGAGGCTAGTTAATTTAAGCAGAAAAAATGACTTGTTGGATTATTAGAAAATTTATAGAATCACACCAATGGAAAAAGTGGAGAGCCAGGTGGGGGGAGGTATCTCAAGAAGAGCATTTTTAATCTCTGGCCATAAGCATCTTCACCATTGCTTTGAATGCTCCCTGCTAACCACTGAAGTCTTAGTTCTCTCCTGCACTTATGAGATCTGTTCTTTCAACAAATATTTATTAATTTACTTATTTCAAAAATGATCTTTTTCCAGTTTTATTACAATATAAATGATATAGAACACTGTATTCCTTTAAGGTGTATACTGTGATGTGTTGATATATGCATATTTTATGAAATGATTTCCACAATAAATTTAGTTAACAGGCATCACCCCACATAGTTGCAAAACTTTTATTTTCTTGTGATGAGAACTTTTAGATCTGCTCTCTTAGCAACTTTCAAGTATGTGATACAGTATTATTAACTTTAGTTACCATGCTGTACATTACATCCCCAGGACTTATTTGTCTTGTAACTGGAAGTTTGTACATTTTTACCCCCTTCACTCACTTGACCCACCCTCTCACCTCCCACCCCCAGTGCTTGCAACTTCTAATATGTTCTCTGTATCTGCTGAGCTGTACTATGTGCCTGACTATATTTTAGGGGCTAGAGATATCAGTATACAAAACATGTAAGTTGTCTGCCCACAAATAGCTTACATTCTAGGTTGGGGAGTTAGAAAAAAAACCCATGAAAATCAATGAAATATAAAATGTATTAATAGACTCTAAGTTCTAGGACAAAAAGGAAAGCAATATAAATGGGATAGAAAGGCATTTGCACAAAAACTTGAAAAAGAAGATGAAATGAGCCATATGGCTATGTGGGAGAACAGAGGTCCTGACAGAAGAAATAGCCAGGAAAAAGGCTTTAAGGCAAGAGCATGTCTGTATGCTGAAGGCACAGCCAGGACACTGCATGGCTCAGGAGGAGTGAGTTGCAGGGACAGTAGCAAGAGATGGGACTGGATGGTAAGACATTTGTGTGTGAAGATCATGTGGGATCTTACAGTTATTTGTAAGTACTTCAGATTTTCCTCTGAGTAAAAGAGAAAGCTTGTATTAGTAAGCTGACATGATTCATTTAATACATGACCCTTCAATCCCAGTGGCTTCAAGTAACAAACATTCATTCCTTGTTCATACTGCCTGTCCATCACTGGTTGGCTGTGTCTCTCTCCAGAGTTACCACTTTAGTATTCAGTCTGATGGAGGAACCTCTTTTTAGAACTTTGCAGTTGTGGCAGATGAAGCAGAGACAAAATTGCCAAACATATTGACTATTAAAGATTCCAGAAATTACACAAAGAGTTTGTGCTCACATGACATTATCCAGAGCAAGTCACATGACCAAAATCAACATCAGTGGAGTAAGGAAGTATGATTATCTTCCAGTGAGGGGTAATGAATATTTTTGAATATTGACACAATGTGCCATAGAACCATTGGAGAATATTGGGTAGAGAAGAGTCATAATATGACTTTAAATTTTTAAATTATCTCAAAGTTGAGAAAAGACTGCTGTGGGGAGGACATCTTTGTGGATGTCATGATAGATTATCTAACAGGCAAAATCTAACGGTGCTTTGGTCCTCTAGTCTGAGGCAAAAGTAAGGAATAGCAGGTTTTAGGTTACCTGATTACTGTCTATGGCGTAGGGAGAGTTGTGGCCTCCTATAGATGGTGAAAGTTTTTCTTGAGAGGACAGATAGATCTTATAGTGGCCAAGTTTTAAAAACAGCACACAAATTAGAAATAAAAAAAATCAAAAGCTATATATAAGAAAATGGCATCAACCTGAGTGATATTTGAAACTAAGATAATACCTAGATGTGTTTAAACCACATTTTTATAAACCTCACATATTACCCTGTCATTCCATACCTAATTATATGTGCATATATTTAGTTATTTTTTCATCTTAGCATCCAGAATTATTCTCTCCCTAGAACAAGAGGAATCAAGCCACCACATTTTTCTTCTTTCACAGGATCGTTATAAAAGTCAGTGGAAAATATATTTTTGTTTTCTGTTATGGAATTCATCTTATTTATTGGAAATTGCTATGGGTGAAATTATGCTTAAAAAAGGTGTTTTAGATTAAATAAGTTGACCACATTGCTTGACTATCTCCCAGATTTTGATTTGCAAAGTATTTTCTTCTTTGAATATAACCAGCAAGAATGACTCAGTGTGTGTAATTTAGTTGCTATATAATCATCAGATATACTGTTGCTCTATGGTAGCAAATGATTCAGTTTAAATCTCTCCAAAATTTGCAAATTTTGTGTTTTTCTCCATCTAATAGTTTACTATTTGGGTATGTAATAAATATCTGTGTATAGATTGAAGCATAGTATTAAAAATGGGGGCAAAAACAAAATTTCCTGATTTTTTCCCTACCAGTTACCTCATTTTTCCTATTATTAATTTATTAAGCTTCATTAATTGTTATAATAGATTCATAAATAAGTGTATGGTGTAGGTTAAGATGCTTAAGGCATTTAAAGCCTACAGAAATAATTGGAATGAAAAATATTTGTATTTGTGAACAATCAAAAGTACTATCAAATATACCTACTTTGGAAACTGAAAATTTGTGAAATTCCTCTTAACATTTGGGCACTTAATTTTGACAGTTTTCTGTGTTTGGTGTCTTGTCCATCATGATTACCAACTATTCAAGACCAATTATTTACTGCCCTCTATTGCTGTCTCAAGCTGTGATCCTATATATAAACCTATTTTAATGTAAACCCCAATTATTTAAGTTTTAGATATAATTTTATTTATATTTGCAAATCATAATTCTACCAGTTGTTGGTTTTTCTCCACCAGTTAGCTATTAACCTTAGAAAATTTACCTTTTGAAACTAATTTTCCTCCATTGATTCCTTCTTTTAAAAGTTTTCTTCTTCAAAATAAATTCTTCCATGAGTAGGAAAAATAACTCCATTATTGATTAACCATTTTTCTTTCTTTAGTTCATTTTTTTTCTTTTCTTTTACTTTTTCTTTTTTTAGGGGGGGATGAGGGGTAGAGGGAGAGGGGGAGAGAGAGAGAGAATCTTAAGCAGATTCTGCACTAAACGTGGAGCCTGACATGGGGCTCAATCTCACAACCCTGAGATCATGACCTGAGCTGAAACCAAGAGTCAGGCGCTTAACTGACTGAGCCACCCAGGCACCCCTAATTCATTTTTCTTAAAGGGGAAAATAAACTTTGTTTTTATATTCAAAACTGAAATAATGGATTATTTCCAGATAACCATATGGTGTAGGGAGTGACACCATAGTGTCACTATGGTGACCACCATAGTGACAAAGTAGTTACCTAAATAATGTAGATGGATTGTGAGACTAAAAAACTGTATTAGACATAATTGTGGGTAGTAAATCTTGAGTTTAACTATATGTTTAAAGCCCATTAATCACCATCATAGATATTTTATTTTCTGATATCTTCTGAACACTCCTAATAATGATTTAAGGCATATCTTCTAATGTATGAATTAGTGAAAAAGCACTTCAGTGATTATGTGGAGACTTTTGTTGTCTATACATTTACCAGGACTAGAAATTAGCCGTGTTTATTGATGAAAGGCTGCTCTGCCTCTGAATGTGTTGGACTTTGTAGTTGATCATAATTCTTGACAAGTTTCACTGTACTGTAATTAATCTATCATTGCCACCACCATCTCTGTGTTTTTCCTTTATTGCAGATGCTGCTCCTATGTAGGTCGGCGGGGAAATGGACCCCAGGCAATCTCTATTGGCAAGAACTGTGATAAATTTGGAATTGTTGTTCATGAATTAGGCCATGTGATAGGCTTTTGGCATGAACACACACGACCAGATCGAGATAACCATGTCACTATCATAAGAGAAAACATTCAGCCAGGTGAGAGGCTTCAGAATATGTTGGGTTTAAGGTTGATGGAATATCTTTTAGTTGTGTTTATACTATTTATGATTTAACTTTTTCTTAAAAAGTGTGAACTGATTTTTTTGATATGGTAGAATCAGCATTTTGCTGGATAAATATACCCATGATGATGTTACATTTTTAATTTTTTTTTCCTTTAGCTGTTTTATTTCTAAACTTCTGTGTTTTCCAAGAATGGGTGTAGGCTATTGAACCATAAATTAATATTTAATTTTTAAAGCATTTTTACTACAATCTATGTGATAGAGATTTAGAAAGGATCCAGGGTTTGGCATGAAACATGCTGCTACCATAGAAATCTATATTATACCAGGGACATTTCTGGAGAAAATTTCAAGGAAATGAGTCATTTCCAGGGTAGTCTAAATAGTTTCTTTGAGAATTCTTCTTAAACTACCTAAAGATAAATTCTTAAGATTTTTTTCAGTAGTTGAAATATCATATATAATTAAAATTTAATTTTCTCTGATAGGTGATATGTGATAATAGCCTTATTTTAAAGCTTTTTATTTAACTTTCATAAATTAATAAAGATTACATTTCAATTACCAAAAGAAAAATTTTGTTTTTTGGAATTGCCTTATAAAGTTATATGGATTTCAAGCATTAGGAAAGTAAAAATGCATCCTTATTTCCTTATTCATGGCAAGTTTTAAGTTACAAACATTGAATTCCTTAGACTTTCTTGTAATTAAATGTATTGATCTATTTATTTGCTCATCACATATTTGGTGTTAATTATTTATTGAGACATTATTAGATGTTGAAAATGCTGTCATGAAAAATAGAAAGCTTAATGTGGGGTATGTGCATATACATAAATGACTGCAAGTGGGTGAGAAAAGTGATAATAGTCATATGGTGAAAATACCACAAAGTCCAAGTAACATATGACAAAATGCCTTGGCAAGTCAAGGGAGATGTCACAAAGGAACTGAAATTTAGAAGTAAAGTATAAGTGTTCAAAGTGCACAGAAGAAAGATAGAATTTCTAAGCTGAAAAAACATCATGATGATAGCTATAATTACAGAAAATTGAATAATTTTTATTTGCTCATTTATGGCTGAATGGTTAAGTTGCAAGTGGGAGATTAGTTGGTAATTACCAAAGGAGGTTGAGTCATAGGGGATCTTCTATACGAAGCTAGGGAACTTAGCTTTTATCTTTAGCTACTGGAGAATAATTGAGGATTGAAAGCAGAACAAGTTCAGATTAAAAAAAAGGAAAAAAATAATTCTTTCAGCTTTGGGATCATAACTGAGAATGGAGAAGTGGAAGTAGGGAGGATGAACTTAAGGAAACCTATAAGAAAATTAAATAAGTAGCTTATAAAAACTGACTAAGTCCTTAGTCAAGGAAGTGCAGTTCAAGAATAAGAGAGAATAACCTTTCAAAAATATTTTAAGAGGAACACTAACATATGAGGGGAAATCTTCAAGGTTTTATTTTTAGGCAACAGGATGAATGGTGGCACCATTAGATGAAGGAAGACATATGGATAAAGCAACATGTTTTTTAGAGTAAGAAAGAGAAATAATGGTTTTATTTAGCATATCGTTGATTTTGAGAAGCCTTTGGGTTATCTAAATGGAGATGTATAGTACACAAAGCAAAAATGAGTCTAAAATTTAGGCTATATCTAGAAATAGAAATTTAATGGTATATTTGACTATCTAGGGAAACCTTGAAGGGAGAATAAAAATACAGCTAAGGATAGAAAATGGGGAATAGCAATAATTAAGCAACATTTTGCAGAAAATCCCCCAAAAGACTAAGAAGTTTTGGTCAAGAGTTAGGAGAAAAATCACTGAATGTGATGTCCCAGGAAAGAGATCATTTCAAGAATGATAAAGTAGGAGAAGAGGAGTGGGTGGTTCAAGATGGCAGTGTAGGAATATCCTGAACTCACCTCCTCCCATGGATACAACAAACTACTCCTACACATGGAGTAATTTCTCTGAAAAAATCGGATAACTGGATGAACATTGTGCCTCCACAATAAAGGATAAAAGGGCTATGAGGAGATGAGTAAGAGAGGCAGAGACACACCTGCTGCCAAAAACTCCGATTCTAGACATGATGACCCATAATGAGGAGAGATTCCCAAAGTACAGCACTTTCTCCTGAGAAGCTAGAGGTTGACACCACAACCTTTGGGTCCTGTACTGGAAAGATGAGCCCCCCTGCCCCAAACATAAGACCATCAGGGATTATATCCAGGAGAAGGAACAACTGTAGGGAGGCTGTAGGGAACAGAGAACCTGCCCTGAAGGGACTTGCATGTAGACTCAGTCACTCCAGGACCCAGCAAAAAAAAACAGCAGTTTGAAAACACCTGGTCCATATTTGAGGCAGACCCAATTACTAATCTTAAAGTAATCACTAGAGAGGCAGAAACATGTTGGGACTCTCTCCAGGGACAGAAGCATTGGCAGGTGCATTTTTGCAATCTCATTCTACCTTGCTAATACCAATACTGGTGGGTATTATTTTGGCAATCTCCCTCTAACCTGCTAGTGCAGGTAGGTGTACCGCACCTCACCATGCCCCAGCTATGCCATAGCCAGCTGGGAGAGCACCCTGCATCACACCAGAACCATGTCACAGCCAGCCAGGCAAGAGACCTACCCTTCCAAGCCACAGATTTACCACAGCGAGGCAAGTGTCCCACCCCTCCTGTGCCAGAGTCAAACCACTGCCAGGCCAGCATCTTGCTTCCTTCTGTGCCACAGCCATGGCTCTGCCACAGCTGGCTGGTGCATGCACCCCACAGAGGGGATACCTCTGGAGTGTCTGGTTCTAGTAGCCAGAGGGATTTCTCCTGGGCTTCACACATCATCTTCTACACAAGGCCAATTCTTCAAGACTGGGAGAGGTAGCTGTTCTGATAATCAGGCAAAACAAGACAAAGGCATATGTTTCAAATGAACAGTAAAGACCTCAGAAAATCACCTTAATGAAACAGAGATAAGTAATCTACCTGATAAAGAGTTCAAAATAATGGTTATAAAGATGCTCACTGACTTAGGGAGAAGAATGGATGAATACAATGAGAATTTAAACAAAGACATAGAAAATATAAGAAAGTACCAAAAAGAAGTTACAGAGCTTAAGAATACAGTAACCAATGAAAAATACACTAGAGGAGTTCAACAGCAGACTGGATAAAGCAGAAAAATGGTTTGGTGAACTGGAAGACAAAGCAATGAAACTCACCCAGACAGAGTTGCAAAAAGAAAAAAAGAATTTAAAAAAGTGGGATACCTTAAGGGACTTACGGGATAACATTAAGCAGAATAATATCTGCATATGGGTGTCCTAGAAGGAGAAAAGAGAGAGAAAGCGACAGAAAACTTACTTTAAAGAGATCATGGATGAAAACTTCCCTAATCTGGGAATGGAAACAGGCACTCAGATACAGGAAGCCCACAGAGTTCCAAAGAAGATGAACCCAAAGAGATCTACACATTATAATTAAGTTAATTATAATTATAATTAAAACATGAAAGTTAAATAAGAAGAGATAATCTTAAAAATAGCAAGAGAAACAAGCTTGTTACATACATGGGAAATCCCATAAGGCTATTAGCAGATTTTTTTTTCAATTTTTTTTATTATGTTATGTTAATCACCATACATTACATCATTAGTTTTTGATGTAGTGTTCCATGATTCATTGTTTGCATATAATATGACACCCAGTGCTCCATGCAGAACATGCCCTCCTTAATACCCATCACCAGGCTAACCCAACCGCCCACCCCCTCCCCTCTAGAACCCTCAGTTTGTTTTTCAGAGTCCAT